GTGACCTTTCCGGGTTTTTCGTTACGTCAGGTGCAGAGAACTTCTCGCCATTGTTTTCCGTCCTTCATGTTCCATGAACGTCCCATGAACGTCTCATAAACGTCTCATAAACGTCTCATGAATATCTCACGAACGTCGTGAATGGAATCGATAAAGATCGTAATGTCCCATGAACGTCTCATAAACGTCTCATGAATATCTCACGAACGTCGTGAATGGAATCGATAAAGATCGTATCAATCACTAAGGATTCGAGGAATTCCTCGACCTACTACTTCTTTATTTTTTGTACGACTACAAAAAATAGTCTCTCGACCTACTTCCTTTTAAGTTTTTATAGTATTTTTTATATGAAAAAAGAAAGTTATATCGTTTTCGAGAGCTGTTTGAAACGGATTTTGCAACACGATTTTTCTGCTCGGTACAGTAAATCGTCGATGAGTGTTCGAAGGCTCCTCGGCACTGACAACGAGATCTTCCCAGATGTAGTGCTGACTTTTTAATGAGGTTTAGCACAGCGATAGATCTTGGAATTCTGAAACCAATGGTATTTGTTTTAGCCGCATATGTCCATTAGTTTATGAAATATTTTATGTTTAGTGCCGAGGAGCCTTCGAACACTCGTCGAGGATTTCCTGTACTGACTTTTCCGAATGGCAGCTATTTCGATTTTTAAAAGGACGAGCCTTACAACTTCCGACCCTTATTTTTTCAATACCAGTTTAACATCCGAGTAACTCCCCTTATTAGAGCGCGATTCCACGTTGTAGAGAAGGCAAGATGGATGCTTTCTGCTAAGGGGACTGTTGTGTGTGTGCGTGTGTTGGACCACACAGCGTGTCTACCGTAGAATCATCTTGGAACGAACGTCTCTGGCGTCCCTTTCGGACAGCCAACTCCTCGTATCTCTAACCGAAGGTGACTGGTCAGGGTGAACAATCGTCCAAGTGTCTCGAGGAAACGATAAACGGGTGTCGCGTTTTATGTAACGGAACAATATAACCGCATGGCAGCCTACTTGGCAGCCTCCCCTATCGCTAGCGGTATCTCCATGGCTAATTTGCAAGTTTCTCGTATTATTTTTGTGAATTCCGTTGATTCAGTGGTGCAACCAATCAACTCGTTTCACGAGCTGTGTGTTCTGTGACAGGTATCCCCGAACATTGTATTCGTTCTCGACGTTGATGCGAGGGTAAGTGATATGTCTATGCCGTCTTCTTCTGGTCACAACGACTTTAATGCGTTTCTAAGCATTCTCGAACGTAGAAAACATACTAAAAGCCAAACTGTAATCAAAATGTATAAACCCTTTGCTGACGGAATAGGGACCAGACCGGTTTTACAGCCATCAATTCTGTCACGAGACATTTATGACTTGACTGCGGATTTTTATGGAAAATAAAAGTTTCTAAAGTAATTTATAACGACAGGAACAATTGTAGAAATTTATTTTCCCACTTAAGTGTCTCATTGGGTTCAGAATAAAATCGAAAACTATCGCATTTACAAAAACCATAACATTGAGAGAATTATGCAAGACATTTTATAAAAAAAGATACCACAGTTTCACTTTTAATCGACAGCCAATTTTATCCTTTTTTTTTTTTTATTTTCTTTACTTTCGAAATTTGTTATTTATAACTGAAACGAAGGTCACAACGCTTGCCGAATCTCTGTTATTATTTACACCGAGCTAATTTCTGTTTATTCGCAGAGTGCGTTGAACGTTGTCTCGACGACGCAGAATATTTAGTGTTTTCTATTTGTTACCTAAAATACGGCTCCGGTACGTTGAACTCAAATCTGATTAAAACTAGACCAACTGGCTTCGCGTGCACTTTAGCCCGGTAACTATGTATGTACATGTTGCCTGTGAAAGCTTCAACCGCGATAATCATTGTCATTAAACGGGGATGTTTATGCAAATTCCCGCTATTCGTGGACTGTTTTAACGACAACTTGAATTTCAAGCGAATTTTACTATCATCGTTGAAGAGTTTACGTCTCTGGGGTAACGGCAGGAAACGAGAATTTTTAACCCTTTTCGGACCTTAGTTGTAATATTCCCAAGACGACATTTTAGAGATTGATACAATTGCGGATGAATAGTAAGAGATGGTTTTCTTATAATTCCTATCGGGTTCTTTTACAATTTTTTTCACAACTTTAACCGAGACAAAAAATTGTTTATAACTTCGAAAATATTAACTTTTCAGTGCATATTCATTAGGAGCTTTTCTTCATCATTTGCCGAGTACCATGTACCCTATAAGGTACGAACCTTAAATTTTTAATCACCCTGTACAATTAAAAAAATCCAAGTCCGAGCATTCGGGTCAAATTGACCCGAACACAGTGGATGACAGGTTAACCGACCCTCTTCACCGATCCCATTCAATGAACCGCGGCTGTCCGCCATCTTTAGCGGCGTACACGGGTAACCGCCGTCGCCGTCGCCGGTCCTCGTCCGTTTTCTATTCTAATTCCGATGCTATTCTAGTCGACGGAACGATGGCCAATGGGCTACGTCCGCCGTCGAGGCGATTCTCCTCTCCGCCTGTTGGCCTCCCCCATCCTTCATTTGTTGGCCCCCTCCGCCGCCCCCTGTCCAGCGTTGACCGCAGTCGTTCTCGAGGCATCGCGTGCGTCAGATTATCATCCGTTCGCCGCGCGTCCTCCTTTCCATCTGACGCGTGAATCAAGTCGCTAGCATAGTACCGTTTATCCCCGAGAAATCGAGAGAAAATCGGTTGCGAAAATCGTGAACCACTGGAGAACCGAGGAGGGCGATAACAATCCCTTGAAGGAAGGATAACGGGTTTTTTTTTTTTTACAAAAAGGAAAAAAAAAGAGAATCCGTTTTCTCCTCTCGGTTTGGAGGGGGAAAGTGCTCTTGGAGTGAAAGAGGGGAATGGTCTTGTAACCTGACTGGCTTCTACGCAAAGGAATATAGAGGATTTCAAGGAGAGGACGCCAGTGAGCTTAGAGAGCGCGTAGAGGGAGAATGCAGTGGCGCCGACAGCGAAGGGTCACCCACGTGATTGGATCCTCCAATCACGTTCTACTTTTAGCGAGGTACCAAGACGGTACGGAACCTTGACGAAACAAGACCGATCCTGGATCGTAGAGGAGGCTTCTGATTTTAGTTTATTTTTTTTTTTTTTTTTTTTTTTTTTTTTTTTTTTTTTCTATTGTTTGCTGTTCCTTTTGTTGCGACCACGGTAACCTTTGGAGTACGGCCGGTATGGTCCCGGCTGGCAGACTCGCGCTCTGATTGGTCGGGGTTTTTCGTTAATATCTCGTTAACGAAGCCTCAGATAACATTTTTGCTAAGGAAAAACTTGTTCCAAATCACCTCACGAGTGACCCATTTTGGGGGACCTACAACACTTTTGTTACACCCTGTATAAGTTTCAACCTAAAAAATGAACAAAGGTTTCTCAGAGGAAAAGTTTATATAGACATTGGGACACTTGTCGCGGGTAGAACGATCTGCGACAAGTTTCTGTTCGTGTTTAGTACAAGTTCGATCCTCAAATTGTTGTTTAGAAGAAAGGGAGGTCTTGTATTATGCGTTTTAATCGCTGTTTTCGGGGCTTGAGTATGCTCGCACCTGTATACACACTGTTCCAGATATATTATGTCCTGAAATGTTTTTCGAAGGAAAAAGTTTGTGATCTGTATGGAGTATACAGACATGTCTGTGTAGATCTGTACGAACGTTACGGAAAAGCAGTCTTGGACATGGTATGATAAATGTATTTAAATATATATCACGTATATCTGGAACACACTGCGTACAGATGTTACAGTAAATTGTTTTCGTTTGTAGAATTCAAAGAAAATTCTGTTACAGATAGAGTTTGCACTGGCAAATAGGCGAAAGCACTGACTGTTAGGCACCGAATGCAATAGGTCTAAATGTAATTTTAACTTGATATTGTTGCGTCTTCGAATTAGCACCTGCTTTGTTCGACTATGTAGTCATCGATAGTTTTTAGAACATCAGAAGCATCCGAATCGCGATTAGACGATGTAACTGCTTAGGTTTGAAACATTAGGTAAGCTTCGTGAAATTTTAATGCAATTATTATTTACCTCTGTTTCGGCATATTTGCATGCAGTTACTTATAAAAATGTTCGCTCACTCTGTACGCATTTTATTTTACATTTTTAATCAATGTTGAACTTCAAATCAACGATTTATGATTCATATTAGTATAAACTTTGATTAACACACTTTAAAACGCATTCGACTGAGAAATTATGCAAAATTTATGTAAAAGTGTCGTTATTTCTCAAAGTGGAGTAAGCATGCATTGCGAGTTTATTGTATTGTAATCAAGTTAGCTGAGACACCCTGTATATATACATATATCATGTGGCCAACTAGATAGTAGCACCAGCTAAGATTTTTTGCTCATTAAACAGTTATCATAATGTACGGGCAATATCGAAGAGTCGGATATGGCTGCAACAGTCCTATTCCGAGCAGATTATCACAGCTTCGGAGTTACGGTGGTGCCCTCACTGTCAGATCCAAATGTATCTACTTCGCTCCAGTGTACCATTTATCAATATCGAATATCACATATTACTTACCGTGCTCGGGGTTACACTGGCAACCTTTTGATACGCGAACAGTTTCGTAGATAATGGCCACCGGTGTGCAACTCGGGTGACGAATTCCTCCGTAATTCGACTCTGGTAGCTTCTACTCGTACGGTGGTCTTCGCACGGTAGCCAATTGTCACGCTGTCTCTCCCACGAATAATAATAACGCGATGATGTTTACGTAAACTTGTGTTTAGAAAAATTCCACGGAATTTAGAAATTAACGCATTAGCCACCAGTAGCTACTTAATACGTCTCCAAGACAAAGTATGAAGGCTTGCAGAAGCCGGTCGTGTTTCGAAATAATTGCGCGAAATGATTACCTAACCCTAACCGAAAGCCTGGACTCTGTCGTAACTGTTTCTCTCGCTTTTTGTGTTTGACAGCTCCGCCAGGCGAGGAGGACGAAGAGGAAGGATTGAGGAACGGTTACGTGAAGGGCCAAGAGAACGACACAGGCGGTCACAATTTCGAGCGTAACGGTCAAGGCGGCGGATACAAGTCCCGACGGAGCGGAAACGGTAGCAGCAGCGGTTACAATGGCGGCGGGGCCCGGTCCCACAGGGACGAGTCCGACGGCACGCCGTCCAAACCGAAGATCATATTCAACGAGGACGAGTACACGAGAATTACAACGCCGCGGCAGGACATGCTGTTCAAGAAGGGCTATTTGTCGCGGAAAAAACCCTGGGCGGGTAACGCGAGCACAAGCGCCACCCCGTCGACCACTGAGAGCCAATCGGCGTCGCATTCCACCGCAGGTAGAGGTATAGGTAGAGGAGCGTTGGGGGGGGGGGGGG